ATGAATAAAAATAGATACAGAGGCAGAGCAGCATTGAACAGACTGTCAAACTACAGCGGGAAGGCTGGGGAGGGTTGGGGGGCGGCAGGGGTGGGTAACAGATCAACCAAAGGACTTGTATGCATGCATATAAGCATAACCAATGGACATAAGACACTGGGGGGAAGGGGGAGAGGAGGCCAGGGGAATGTCAAGGGGCGGGGGGAAGGAGACATATGTAATACTCTTTGTAATACTTTAAGCATTAAAACAAAAAAAAACCAAAAAACAAAAAAGAAAAGAAAAGGGAATAGGACTGCAGGCCTTCCTTCCCGCATGGACCAGTGAGCCACCAGCAGAAAATGAACAGCTAGCGTGTGTAAGCTGCCCTTGATTAACCTGGGCCTCTAGCTCACACCCCTAGGCATTTGCTCGGGGACTTGCATGGTGACGGAAGGAATCAAAAGTCTGCCATCCTGAAGCTGCTTTTTCGGATATTGATTTTAAGCTGTTTATTAAGAAACAAAAGACTAAGAAAGAACCTTTGACCCTCCCCACGCCCTCTCCTGAGAGTCAGACTGAGAAGCCTGCTTCTGGAAGGAGGTCTTAGGATGCTGCCTTAGCCTAATTAAGCATGGTCAACAGGAGGGTTCAGGCAGGTGCCTGTCAGCTCGGTAGCCCCTGTGCCCGTTGTTTCTGAGTCAGCCAGCAAGAATTGTCCTGCCACGCGGGTTCCGATCTTCCTCAACTACCTGTGAATCGCCACTTCTGAAATCTAATACCCCATTCTCTCCCTTTTCTCCTTAGTCCAAAATGCCCGGCATACCCAATGTTGGACTTTTCATGGCTGTATCATGTCTACGTGAATTCCCCATGCGCATGTACTAAACTCTGATTTTCCTCCTGTTAAAAAAAAATGTACACCTGTCCAGCAAAGTGTCTCAGTCTGAATTCTTACCTGACCCCTTTGGAATCTGACAAAGGATGTGGGAAGAAAATGGAAAGCTGGTTAACTAATAAGTGCACATTTCAGAACTGGGGCCAGCAAACTTTTCCTATAAAGGGCCAGAGAGTAAATAGTTTAAACTTTGCAGGTGAGATTGCCCGACTCTGCCACAGACAATATCCAGACATGGGTGTGGCTGAGTGCCAATAAAGTTTCATTTACAAAAACAGCAGTACCTGCTGACCTTGTTCTAGAAGACAGAAAACAATGTACTCATTAATGAGGTGAAAGTAAATAAGTTCAGTGAATCCCAGACAGATGCTCCAATCCCATTGACTTAAAAGAGCTACATTCATTCATTCACTCAAAAAACATTGGAATATAGAGAATAGAGAGTGTCTTATTTCTCTTCCATCTTTGGTTGGCTCACCTATAGACCTTACAAGGCAACCCATGTTAATAACCTTATGTCCTTCCAAGTTCAAACAACATTACACACTCTCTGTATAGGCTTCTGTTAGTTTTACAGAAAGTGGGGTAAGGGCTCATATTCTGTATGTTTTTCTGCATTTTGCTTTTCTCTCCAAGTCTCGTGGTGTGGCTCTGATCATTTTGTACAAATGGCCACTTAATATTCCCACAGCGTGGCTCACATATAACACAGCAATTCCTTTCTAGTCTCGCTTTGGTTCCAGAGTGTTTGCTTTGTATTCCAGGTATGAATGTGACCCAAATGTGGTCCCTTGGTCTAGTGGAGGAGATGTGCAGTGGCGATGGTGGTGATAACAATAATGCATTTCCTCCACCACCACTCACTTGGATGCTGGCACTGAGAAGATCCCGAGGCCCTCACACCTGGGGCATGGGAAGAGGTGTCAGCACGCACATCAAGAAGCTGGCTCTTAAAGGAGGACCAGGTACATAGCCCACCAACTGCAGGAGAGTGGGTACCAGAGGCAGGGATTGGCAAGGGGGATATGATATGCAGAATGTGAACATTTGCCTGGCCAGCATGGCTTAGCTGTTGAGTATCAATCAACCTATGAATGATATGTCATGGTTCAATTCCCAGTCAAGGCTCAATCTCCAGTGGGGGGGGGGGGCGCATGTAGAAGGCAGCTGATCAATGATTCTCCCTCATCATTAATGTTTCTATCTCTCCCTCTCCCTTCCTCTCTGAAATCAATAAAAATATATTTTACAAAAAGAAATGTGGAAGCTTCAGGAAATCAAGCAGTGGAGTGTGGCTGGAATGTGGGGTGGGGCAGAAAAGAAGAAGATGGCCAGGCAGTTTGGGCTCATATGGTGAAGGGTCAGGGATAGGATTTGAGAAGCCCAGGGCTGCTCAGGGGTAGCCCAAATTTTCCTGAGTTACTAAACTTCTTCAAGCCCATTTGGCTGGCAGCACCCACCCAAGTTAGTCAGCTACAAGCATCACCTTCCCCCAATGGAATAATCCTCGAGGGAAGCCAGCCCAGAGCTCAAGATGACAAAAGGCATTTTTCAAGACACCATATTCCACAAAAGTTGGGTGCTGGGAGCAATGTGCTACCTTAAAACCCCTGGAAACTTTGCTCTTCAACTTTTCTGATATATTCATGGAGATATAACGATTATGGAGTGAATTGCATTCCCCAAAAGTTCACATGTTGAAGTCCTAACCCCAGTACCTCAAAACTATATTTGGAGATACTGTCTTTGAAGAGACAAGTCAGTTGAAATGAGATCATTAGGGTGGACCTTAATCCAACATGATGGGTGCCCTTACAAAAGAAGAGGAAATTTGGACAGACACTCACAGAGGAAAGACCAAGTAAAGACACAAAAAGAAGACTGCTATCTACAATCCAAGAAGAGGGGCATCAGAAGGAACTAACCCTACCAACACCTTGATTTTGGACTTCTGGTCTCCAGAATTGTGATATGATAAATCTCTGTTGTTTAAACCACACCTAGCTGACTACCCAACAATGTCCTAGGCTCAGTGCTGCCCATGGTGTGTACAAACCAAGCTCCAAATGGACTCTATCTTAGGGAGCTCATGGTTCACTCGGGGAGACACAGTCAAGTGTGGCAAGGATCCCTGTGAGGAAGGTGAGCCCAGGAAGCTGCCGGGGGAGACAAGGAGGGGCATATTCTCCAACCTGGTGGTTGGCCCAAGGAGCCACCCAGTGTGGATGGCACTTGTACTGTGTCTCATGGAGCCTCCAGTTGTGGTCCCTGCATTCAAGGTCTTTTTCTTTATCTCCCACCAAATTACTGGGAATTTTATTTTTAAAAAAATATATTTTATTGATTTTTTAGAGAGAGGAAGGGAGAGGGATAGAGAGTTAGAAACATCGATGAGAGAGAAACATCGATCAGCTGCCTCCCGCACACCCCCTACTGGGGATGTGCCCACAACCAAGGTACATGCCCTTGACCGGAATCGAACCTGAGACCCTTGAGTCCACAAGCTGACGCTCTGTCCACTGAGCCAAACCGGTTAGGGCAGGAATTTGATTTTTATTTCCTTCTGATTTTAACCTAGAAAATGACTGTTCTAACACATGACTTCCGTATGGTCATAAAAGAGAAGCTACTTACAGCGATCTTCGCCCAGTTCAGATAATATTGAAAATATGAAACGATTATATCTGCATACTCCTTACTTTCCTAGAAAGAAATCAAAGAGTAGGAAAACTGTTAGGATGATACTCTACTGAGTCAGGTAGTTATGGTCACATATCTACTTATTGGCATACTGATTTTTTTTTTATGTCTTTTTTGGCCCCAGCCAGTTTGGCTCAGTGATGAGAGTGTCAGTCCTCAGCCAGTCAAGGGCATGTACCTGGGTTACAGGCTCGATCCCCAGTCTTGATTGGTGTGTTTGCGGGAGGCAACCAATCGATGTGTCTCTCTCACATCAATGTTTCTCTCTCTGTGTCTCTCCCCATCCCTTCTACTCTCTCTAAAAAAATCAATGGAAAAATATCCTTGGGTGAGGATTAACAAAAAAAGAAAAAAAAGGAAAAGAAAGAAAAACTATTTTTAAAAAAGTCTTACTTCAATAATAATAGATGGAAGATCGTTTGTGATGAATTTCTGAGAAGAATCCAAAGCGTCAAGAATATTGGTCACTTTCACCTGGAAAACACAGCAACAATCAACATGGTGTCAAGTGATAAAAGGGTTTCATCGGACAATTTGAGTACTGATGTGAGTGCTGTTAATTCAATCCCACACCACCACAGCTTGTAAGGCAAGGGGACCATAGAACCAGCTCAATGCTCTGAGGTTCAGGGGGAAGGACATGGATATGTAGCAAGCATTTGAGCCAGATACTGGGCTAGGTCCTTTATCTGAATCACATCACTGAATACTCATAAGGACGAAAGGAAGGTATTGTTATGCCCCTTCATAGGCAAGGGGGCTGACTCTGCCCAGTCAATAAGCAAGGAAGCCTAAGACCTGGAATTTGAACTTTCACTCCAAAGTCCACATGCTTTGCACTGTCACACAAATAAGAACAAGGCCAATGCCTACCCACAGGACAGCTTGGTGCAAATTAGAGGTGCCCAGAGACCTCAGGGCACATAGCCTAGACAGTGAGTCAAGAGTGGATTTCTGCCCCCACCTGCCCCTCTTGAAGGTCAGTGCATAGCTGCCTGTTGTCACCCTTAATTCTGAAGTGTGTTGGGGTGGCACAGGATCTATATAAGGTCACCAGTCTGTCTCAGATTCCCTTGGCATGGGACACACACTTATGAAATGGTAGCCATGACTGAAGGTACAGGGACAGTCCAGAGCAGAGTAAACCTAATAGTCTTCAGAGGAACTAAGTCAGACCTTGGTACATCAACAAAGAGGCAGGCTCAGTGCTGCCCAGAGAGAGGACCAAGGGCCACCTAAGGAGCTCACAGTTTACTGGAGCAGTGGGGTGGGCAGGTGAGACCCAGTCAAATATGGCAAGAATCCCTATGATGAAGGTAAACATGCGGAGCTCCAAGGAAAGCCCAGAGAAGGACATGAAGTTTTCTGTGGTGGGGCTAACCTTCAAAACCTTCAGGGCAGCCCATTGCATTAAATGAGGAATATTCCTGAGCTGCCCATTGACATGGTGGCTACAGCTGAATGCAACACAGCCCGGGAGCTCAGTTTCCGTTGTGGAAATGTTTCCAACTCAGAGAGCCCCTGTGGTGAACTGTATTAGTTGGTCACGGCTGCCTGGTGATGACAGGCATGTTCGTGGGGCATGCTTTGGCCAATGGATGTAGAGGAAGTGGCCATGTGCTGGTTCTAAGAAATGGCTTAAAGGGCAACCTGTGTTCCCATTCATCCTCTAAATTCCTGTTCTGCACTCAGAGGATGTGAGGCAACCCAGATAGAAACTGCTCCTCCAGGCTGGTCTCTAGGGAAGGCAATGTATGGAGAAGACTACAGTCCACCCAACAGTGAAAGTCTGTGGTCAGAAGGCACTGAGACCTGAAGGCTGTTTGTTAGGCAGCATTATCTTGGTGAAAGTGACTGGTGCATCTTCTAAGTCTGCATCCTACACACCCAAGTGCAGCTTTCCCATGGGCCCAACCTTGTGCCAAAATGAGGTTTGTACTGATAGAAGTACTTACCAAAAAAATCATGGTAGGAAAACCCAGTTTGGCATTTAAAATAAGTGAGTCATTGAGACTTTTTAAAAATGTAAAGTACCTGAAAAAGCAACATCTCTGAAAGTCTGTATGCGCTTTATAATAAGACCCATGACTGAAAAAGAAAACACATCCTTGCCTTCAATCCACTGCCTCTTTGTTGAAGCTCCTGAATTTGATGGTGTAGTTCTTTCTAGTAAATAAACAGAGGCAATAGTTTCCAGCTTATGACATGAAGCAGCAAGATCACACACCTTTTGCACCCCCCTCACCCAAATCCAACTTTACTCTGAAATGGGTGTCATTCTGAAAAACAAAACAAAAACACCAGTCTCCAGTAACCATGTGCCGCACACACCTCTATGTGGGGAACTGGAAAACCAGGATGCATATTCTAGAGCTGCAAAGGGCAGCGCATAGCATACAAGTCTGTTACTTAAAGTAAAGCTGGCCAACACGAGTGGTTTAACGTGTATGGTTTAGAACAGGGACTGGCAAACATTATCAGTTTCAGACCAGATAGTAAAGAGTTGAGGCTTTGCGGGCCATGCCCTATCCCAACCACTCTACTCTGCTCTTGCAGCCAAGAGCAGCCACAGATCATCTGTGAATAAGGGAGCACAGCTGAGTCCCAATAAAACTTTTTGTAAAAGAGGACAACAGGCCAGCTTTGGCCCACAGGCTGTGGTTTTCAGGGCCAGAGTTAGCTAACTTCTGGTTTACACTGTGGGTCATGAGTACAGAATAACTTGCCTATTTGTAGACAGGTTGCTCCAGCTCTGAAAAAACCATGGAGCTCTGAGTCTGCTTGAAGGAAGACATTTAAGGGACATGCAAAACCCAGCTTTTAACGTGAACAAATTTGGCCCAGCCAGTGTTGCTCAGTGGTTAAGTATTGACCTATGAACAAGGAGGTCATGGTTTGATTCCCGGTCAGGGCACATGCCTAGGTTGTGCGTTCAGTCCCCAGTGTGGGGCATGCAGGAAGCAGCCAATCAATGATTCTCCTCATCATTGATGTTTCTATCTCTCCCCCTCCCTTCCTCTCTGAAGTCAATAATACACACACACACACACACACACACACACACCTATGAACAAATTTGTGCTGGGCATAAACAAGTATGGCAGAAAATTGTGATGAGCACAGCACAAACATTAAGAAAATTCAGTAAGAGGATTTTGGGGATACGCTAATGAATTAAAAAGTTAGAAGAAAAAGAGAGGCTAGTTCTAGTAGCTTCTGAAGTTGAGGTCAAGTGAGCTAATATGCTTCTCCAAATAGCTCAGCTTCTCGGCCTGAGGCCAATCGAATTTGACCCTTGTGACATGCACACGTGTCCTTGGGCCACAGGAAAGCCCACCAGTGGAATGGGCCGTGGTCAGTTTGCAGGGAGATGCCAGAGGCTGACTGTTACCAGTTGTAGTTCCAAAGGCAGGGCCTTGATATTGTGAATGTCTTTGATCTTGATTACGTTCCTTGTCAGGGACTCTTTTAAGACTCCGGGGGGCTACAGAGGGAAGAAATAAACACAGATCAACCCCATTTTTCCAGATGGCAGAGCACTTGAATGCCCAGCCCTTGTGCCATGGTATCTGTGGGCCTGGGAGCTGCCAGGAGGGGCCTCACGAGCTATGAGTTTTAAGCCACATTCATTAGCCATCCTGAGCGCCTTGGGCTGTGTTCCCACTCTCCCACCTCCCGTAACAGAGCTATAAGTCACTTTATAGTACCCATGTCCCTGTTTTGCAATGAGAAAACCAAGGCTTGACTGAGCCCATCTTCTTGAACTCACACCGCAGTAGGGTTTACTGTATGAAGGGGTAAAGGTCCTCCTGCCCCCGTCTCACGGGTGAGGAAATTAGGGCACAGATGGGGAAATGTCTTGCCCAGGGTCCCACAGTTAGGAAGTGGCTGAGTCAGGATTTCATCTGGGTCTTCCTCCAGACCCCAGGTGCTCCCCCCACCCCCCTGCTGCCAGCCCATGCTCCGCTGCTTCTTGAAAGGGACCATTTTGTTTCTAGCCAGCAGAGCAGCCAATGAAAGGGATGCTGATGAAGGAGGCTTGGATGGGGACACTTCTTTTTTTTTTCCATGTATTTTTATTGACTTCAGGGAAGAAGGGAGACGGAGAAAAAGATAGAAACATCAACGATGAGAGAGAATCATTGATTGGCTGCCTCCTGCACACTCCTCACTGGGGATTGAGCCTGCAACACGGGCATGTGCCCTGACTGGGAATTGAACCGTGACCTACTGGTTCATAGGTCGACACTCAACCACTGAACCACGCCAGCTGGACCCCTCAGCCATGTCTTATTAGTGATATGGAGGACCACACGGAATCTCCTCCCGTGCCCTTAGTTACCATCCCCTGCGCTGCATGGAACACGTATGCAAATGGGTTTGGCAGAGGAGGGATTGCTGAAGAGAAACAGAGCCAGTGATAAATCCATTATGGGCACCAGCACCAAGCACTGGCTTCGGGAAGAGCTGCGTGCACCCCGAGCCCACCATGGGAGCCTTCCCACGCTCACAGATTTTTGGGCCACGCGGCTATGGCTGCTGATGGAAACTTGAAGAAGTGTTTGTCAAGAAGGGATTATCTGCTGGGCTAGTGTGGCTCAGTGGTTGAGAGTTGACCTATGAACCAGGAAGTCACAGTTTGATTCCCGGTCAGGGCTCATGCCCAGGTTTTGGGCTTGATCCCTAGTGTGGGACATGCAGGAGGCAGCTGATCAATGATTCTCTCTCATTGTTGATGTTTCCCTCTTTCCTCCCTCTCCCTTCCTCTCTGAAATAAATTAAAATATTTTTTTTAAAAGAAGGGGTTCCTTGTGGTGTGAGGAATCCCTTCAGTAGCTCCCCTAACAGCCGTGTTGACATTGGATATTGACAGGGATTTCAGAATTTAACTGGGCCTTCGGGACTCACCAACTTGTCGGCGTGTTCTTTTAAACCACTTGCATATGTTAAGAGATTCACTTTGGTTAACGATTTACCTGTCTGAAAAAAAGAGATTAAAAAGAACTATGTAATGACTATGGTTTTTTAAAATCTTAATAACGTCTAATAGGCAACAGAAGGAACATGGTCCATAAAGTCAGGCAGACACTCATGCATAGCGTCTGCATTCGTCTTTAGACCCATGCGACCATACTATGCTACCACATGGAGAACAGAAGTACTGATTGGCACATGCTGTCACGCAGATGAACCTCAAAAATGGTGGCCTTAGCCCTGACCAGTTTGGCTCAGTGGATAGAGCATCGGCCTGCAGACTCAAAAATGGTGGGCCACATGAAGGGGTCAGTGAAGGCCATTAAACACAAAGGTCACATCCTGCAAGATCCCACTCATATCAAATACCCAGGACAGGTAGATGCATAGAAATGGAGCACAGGTTGGTGGCGACCAAGGGCCAAGAGGGGGGATGTGGGGCAGCTGCTGAAGGGACACAGGGCTCTGTTTTTGGGCGATGGAGGTGTTCTCGTGCTGGACAGAGGTGGGGCCTTGTGTCCCGGTGCGATTATCCTGAACACTAGCGATTGTTCACTTAAAAATAGTTGCTTTTCTATTATGTGAATTTCATCTTAATAAAAAAGTAAATCAAAACAGACTAAAAAAGACTTGTGTTCTAATTCCCCCCCCAAAGACCAATTGTGGACACATGGGTCATACATACCTCAGCCAAGTAAGTGTCATAATCGATTTGCTCCACTCCCGAGTCACTGAAATCCAGAAGGTTTCTTTTTCCTTCTTCTTTGAGGATAATGTCATCAAGGTTCACGTTAATCTTTTCAAATTCATTGTTCATGTATCTAATGTGCTGTGCAATAAGAAGTCATAAGTAAGTCCATTTTTCTCCAAAAAAAGTCACAGAGGAGCAATGAAATTACATCAGACAGCCCTGGCCAGTGTGGCTCAGTTGGTTGGGCGTCATCCCTTTACCACTGAAAGGTGAAAGGTTGCTGGTTTGATTCCCAGGCTTGGCACATGCCCAGGTTGCGGGCTCCATCCCCCACGGGGGGGGGGGGGCACATGCAGGAGACAGTTGATCATTGTTTCTCTCCTTCTCCCTTCCTCTCTCTCAAAAAAATCTGTTTCTTTTTTTTTTTTTTTTTAATTACAGGAGCCCGAACAGCATGGTTCAGTGGTTGAGCATTGACCTATAGACCAGGAGGTCAGAGTTCGATTCCCCGTCAGGACACATGCCCCGGTTTCGGCTCCATCCCCAGTAGGGGGTGCGCAGGAGGCAGCCAATCAATGATTCTCTCTCATCATTGATGTGATATCAATAAAAATATATTTAGAAAAAAAATTACACAGGACAAAAAAAATACACAGGCACTTGACTGGCATTTCTTCTTAACTCTTCCCTCCCCTCGCACCCCTTCCCTGCCTCTTTCCTTATGCCCTACGCAGAGCGCTATGTGAGGAGGTGGGGTGCAAAGCAAAATAACAGCACATCTTTAGTCTCAAGGACCTCAAAAGGCAGAGGCAATATCATAATAAAGGCACAGGACCTGCACCAGGACACCAGGGATGGGAGAGAACCTTCTAGGAGAGGAGGCAGGGAGGGCGAAACAGAGGAGGTGGCTTCTGAGTGAGTCTTAACGAAAGAGATGCTGAAAGGGGGCAGGCAGGCTGCATCCGGGACAGAAGGCACAGGCACTGGACTCAGGTGGTTGGGGAGCATGCATTTATGGGAGCAGGGAGGATGGCCTGGGGTCGTCCTAAGAGCCAGCCGGTAGTGCCGGCGGTGTGTGGTGCCCGAGGATGCTGGGCCCTCCGCACCCACTGCTACTCATCCTGGCACACAGAGAAAACGTCCGATGGCAGGCATGATGGGGAAATGTGTGGAGGGCATTTATTTAGGCTTGGTTACAAAATTACATTTTTATTTATGTATATAGGCAAGGTATATTTAGGGAATATAATCAATACAAAATGTGTATACTGTAACCCCCTTTTAAAATGTTTTAATTTGTTTTGTTAATCCTCACCCAAGGATATTTAGAGAGAGCAGAAGGGAGAAAGGGAGGGAGAGGGAGAGGGAGACACATGCCTATTGGTTGAGACACAGCTGAGAAACCCAGAGGGCCTGGAGGTGTAGGGGAGTGGGGATGGCCTTGACAGATGGCACCCTGAGCCTGGGCAGCTAAAACTCTCCTGCTCCCTCTGCTGGTCAGAAGGGGCCATTCCATCCTGTCCCCTTCCATCCCTGCTCCTACACTGTCCTGGGCCCAGGGCCAGCCGAGCTCAGGAGAGCCCATAGCTCTTAGTGCCTAGCCCCCCTCCAGGGACCTGGCAGAAAACGGTGGCCAGTCTTATAGAGCCAATCTCCCTGCGAAGCAAGTGGGGCTTGCTCCTCTCGGAACACCAACCCTCAGGGAGACAGAATCTTTCCCTTGGAGGCCCTGTTAGGGGACAATCAACTGGGGGTACTCATGCCTCAAGAGAGACACCAACTGGCGGGGAGGGATGCAAGTGTTTTGGAATTAGGACATACGAAGTGTCACTCCAAAATGGTTGATTTTATATGAATTTCACCCCCTTTTGAAGCAGCAAAGACAAGTGGATTGGGGAAAGAGCCACGGGAACGTCCTGGCTGGTTCCGGGTGCGTACCTCCTCAATGGTGAGATGCTTACTGACATTGTAGACATTCTCCAGCTGCAGGGCAGTGTAGATGCCTTTGTTGTCTTTGCAGTCACTGTGGGGATAAGCAGAGCGACCATGAACCAGAGAGGCAGCTGTGGCCCCCCCCTGTCCACTGCCAACGAGGAAAAGAAGGGGTAATAGTGTCTGTTTAATCTGTGAACAAAGTGGCCGCTGGGGGTCCACGCAGCAGGCTGTCACCAGCGGCGGCCCGGACCCCCGTGGTGCCCACCGTTCCTGACTTCATTCCCCACTTTACAAAATGTCCCATTTGGAAACAGATTCAGTAGGATCGGTAAATATGTTCTTCTGTCTGTCTCCTCTGTGTTCTTTCCAGGTCTATAAGGAATAACACATTTATACATCAGAAAGAAATAAATTCTCATTTAAAAACACCCTAGCCCAGCCTGTGTGGCTGGGTGGTTGAGTGCTGACCTATGAACCAGGAGGTTAGGGTTTGATACCCGGTCAGGGCACATGCCCGGGTTGGGAGCTCAATCCCCAGTGGGGGGCACGCAGGAGGCAGCTTATCAATGATTCTCTCTCATCATTGATGTTTCTCTCTCTCTCCTTCTCCCTTCCTCTGAAATCAATAAAATATTAAAAAATTAAATTTAACAAAAAATAAAACAACACTTGCTATAAGTAGGTGTTACAAGGCATATCTTGGGCTTTATTAAAAGGTTCTGTCAAACCTCTGCCAGCCCATCTCTCTCTGTATCCCCAGGGCTGAGCTTCACTCACTAAACACCTGGTTGGAGGCATATTCTAATGGCAGGATGGAGACACCCAGGGGGCTACCGACAGGTCAGGATCCTTTGGCTAGAAACCTGACTTGGTCTCACCTCTCTGCGCTTCCTTAAAATGAGAAAACCACCTCCCCTGAGCCTCATCTGATGCATATTTCTGTCACCCACACAGCCACTTCCTGAGGGTGCATCCTCCCTGTGCTGCAGCCAGAGCCCTCGAGCCCTGAGAGGTGCCTGGAGAAGAAACACTCCGCATCCCTAGGAGGTGTGATAGCCCTCCGTAGAGAGCCCCTAGTAGGCTGGTGCTGCTGGAACAGAAAGCTTGACGTCCTAACAGAAGGAAGACTAGAGTTCTGCAGGAGCCAGAATCACAAAGAACGTGGTCTTGTCCTCTCCACATAGGGATGGTTTAATCGTGCACAGAAACACCAATGGATTGATAATGTCTGCCTAGAACAGTGGTCGGCAAACTCATTGGTCAACAGAGCCAAATATCAACAGTACAACGATTAAAATTTCTTTTGAGAGCCAAATTTTTTAAACTTAAACTATATAGGTAGGTGCATTGTTATTAACTTAATTAGGGTACTCCTAAGGCTTAGGAAGAGCCACACTCAAGGGGCCAAAGCGCCGCAGTTTGCCGACCACAGGCCTAGAACATGCTGTTGAGAAAGACCCTGAGAGGTCTCTGGGCTGAGTAGAAGACCACAGTTGATTAGCAATATCTGCCAGGAGGGCAAAGTGAAAGGATGGTGAACACATGTGCCACTCACTCATCTGCTGCCTCTGCTAGAGGAGCTGAGAGACACTGAAATGTCATTCCTATTGCACAGCGAGGAAGTGTACCATCTAAGATCACAGAGGCCTGGTGGCAGAGCCAGGACCGGAGCCCAGGCAGCCCCCGCCCCACAGACTGGCCCTTGAGCTGCATCACCATTTGCACGTCTGTGGTTTGGACCCACCCACTGACTTTGTGTTACGTGGCATTTATTTGGGGCAGGTTGGTCCTTGAACCAGAGTTTTCACAGGGTCCTGCTATGAATTTTAAAGTCACTTTCACCAGTGTGTCCTAGTGATCCCTGGACAGGGGGACCTTAAAGCACCATCATTCCAAGGTCTAGAAGGTTCTCAAGGGAAGGATCAACTTCTTGGTCTTATTTCTACTATTTCTTTGGTAAGACTAGAGAACAGTTTAATTCTGAAACTGGCAAGTCTGATCATTAAAGTTAAAGACACTTGGAAAATAAAATTATCATTCTGAAAATAAACAACATTTGAACCAGCAAAAAAAAAACGTATACCTGTAAACTTGTTCAATAGTGAGATTAATATCCATATTGTTAAGTATCTTGCCAGAGAGATAGCATTTCCAATTCTCATTTAGTAAATATGGTGTGTCCATAATCTAGAACAAATTTTAAAACTTTTTAAAAAGAAAGGCAGTTTTCTGGGGGAAGGTCAAGGGGGGAAAAAAGGAGACATATGTAATACTGTTTGTAATACTTTAAGTAATAAAACAAAACTTTTTAAAAAGGCAGTTTTACACTAACATATACACATATAATAAAAACAATGTTATGTTAAGTATATTTTAGGGATTTTCATGTCATGATGCTCCTCATTGATGTTCAATTTAAAACTATAAAACAATAGTGTGGTTGGAATAAATCAAACCACCACTGGGTAGCATCAGCAGAAATTATTGAAATTACTTTGGAGAACACTACTTTTTAGTAAAACAAACACATTAGAAATGACAAGAACAGACCATTTTATTAAGAGTAGATAATAGAAAGCCACAAAGCGGTTGACCCAGCTCCTCACTACTTCTCTCTAGACAAAATGAATTAGCACTCACACATTCTCTGACTTCACGTCATATATATTTAACATGGGCTAATTCATGCATGGCTGTGCATGTGCTTGAGGAGTGGAAATGGTTTAGAAATATCCCCTACTTTTTAAGAATTATTTTTAACGATTTAACACAATATGGAAGATAATAAAGTTTAGTTTGATGTGTTGTTACTATTTTTTTTTTTATCAAGAGTCCATGTGAGGATAATATGACAAATCTATGCTCTCAATTTAGCTTTTCTCAACCAATCAAATCATTAAAATACCATGACAACAACTGATTAGTTTAATAGCCATTCACCTGATTTTGTGGCAGATCCTGAATTGGAAAATATATACAGTAAAACAGGGAAACATAAATATGTTTAAAAAACCAGAATCTGGAGAAACACATCGGAGAGCCAAACTTAAAGGGCAAACATGAAAACCCAAACGTCCTTCTACTTAAATGAAGCTAAATGTGAAATGCCCCCCTAGACTATGTAGAAGTTGGGTTTCGAGGGAGAAAATGAGGCTTGAGACCCACTTCCAACTGTCATATTCTGCCAAGAACAAACTATCTTGCCAGGAGGCATATAATTTATCATCCCCTTCACTTCAAATATATGGTCTCAAACCATCTGTGTGGGCAACTGTCATCTGGGAAACTCTTTAAAATGTCAGAAACTTCCTGGGGTTTGGAGGCACCCAGGGATTTATCTTCTGATATTTCCAGCCACATTTGGGAACTACTGCTAAGCAAAATTTTCTTCTCCCCAAATATTAATGCCCCCATTGATACATATGCTTTAATTCCTGGTATGATTTCACTTACAAAAAATAATAATAATAACAGCATATATATTTTTTGCTCTGATAGAAGGAATATCAAATAGAAGGAATCTCAACTTTTTGAATAAAAATCAAACTACTCATCTTTTTGCACTGCTCTTGAAGAAACCCAAAGTTTTGGCTTGAGCTCTGCCTTAATGGTAACAAAAACCTCATTTAGCCGAACCGGTTTGGCTCAGTGGATAGAGTGTCGGCCTGCGGACTCAAGGGTCCCAGGTTCGATTCCGGTCAAGGGCATGTACCTTGGTTGCGGGCACATCCCTACTGGGGGCTGTGCAGGAGGCAGCTGATCGATCTCTCTCATCGATGTTTCTAACTCTCTATCCCTCTCCCTTCCTCTCTCTAAAAAATCAATAAAATATATTAAAAAATAAAAAATAAATAAAAAAAAACAACCTCATTTACCTGGAATAACTTCCTGTTTTGGTAAGGTTCACAGACCAATTTTTCCATGTTTACACCAATGACAAAAGTAAGAACCACAAAGAGCATCGATATCCAACAAAAGAAGAAACTAACTCCAACCCCACTGCAAAAAAAAAAAAAAAGAAATAAAGTTAAGAATTCTATAAGGAATTGTCCATTATTCAATATTACCCATCAGTAATTACTGACTCTATACTCAGTGTAGAAGAGGAACCTGCATCTTCAGCTGTTTACAGGTCAAATGAGTCAGCTTACCCAGGAGTGAAGACAGAAAGTGGTCAGCACAGTGGTCTTTCAGTCCTGGGCACAATATGTACTTAGGGAACCCTTAAGGCTTATTCCTGGTCCATTTGCAGCCAGTACCATGGTTCAGACATGGGCTCTGAGTTACTTGAGTGAACCAAGACTTTCTGCAGAGGACACTGTGAGTGGGGAGGTTCTAAAGCAGGAAATGTGCCCTTGGGAGTCTGAAGGGGGCCAACTTGGCTCTGCATCCAGAGCACAGAGTGTGGTGAATGGCAGCTTGAGAGGCAGGTAGGGATGTACTGCCAGGGAAGGGAGGGGCTTTACATTCAAGAGAAACACAATGCAACTTCTCTCTGAAGAAGAGTACTCTTGGCAGAGCATGAAGTTTCTGGAGTTTCAAAGGGAAGAAGCTAGATGACCATATAGATCAGTATCTGATAACAGGTCAATCTTTAACAAGTATCTGGTGAATATACGGATGGATGGATGGATGGATGGATGGATGGATGGATGGATGGATAAATGGATGGATGCATGGCTAAATAGAGGGGTGGATGAATGGATATGAATATAGGAAAAAACAATGGGAATAAAGAAAGCAAACTTGGACATAATTTTCATAACAGCTGCTTTAAAAAGGAGCCCACCATAAACAGCATGTTTAAGCTTATCTATCAAAGTGCAACTAATTTAGAATTTTCTTTGACTTTTTTACTCTTGATGAAATTTCCCAAATTGGTAAAAGTATAATCAACCAACACACCGATGGAACACAGTGCTCAGCCCAGAGGACCACCATGTCACCTACTCTCCTCCTAGTTTCCACCCCTCCACTGGCAAGGAAGAGCAAACACTCACACCATGAGGAAGGTGCCTCCGGTGTTTGAGACGCAGCCTCGTGTGATTGGGGTGGCATTCTGTTTATAGCCAAACACGCCACACAACAAGCCCAGGTAATAAAAAATCATGATGAGAGTCAGAAAACAGCAGATAATCAAGCAACTCAGCCACCTGGTGAAACAAGCACAGTGCTATTATACATGAAAGAGGTGACATCCTCATAACACAAAAGCTGCCATACCGGGGCAGAAATAATTGAGTATAATACTTGGCAATGAAATATTAGAAGCCCTTGTTAATTCCTCAGAAGGTGATGTGAAATGATGCCTTCCCACCGCTAGTCTTCCAACCCAACCAATAAGAAACCTTAATTTTTATCTTGGTTTTGAGCATTCTCGCTCCATGGTCATAGGATTATTTTCTTCCTTTGCTTCACTTCTGTAGAGCTCATAATCAGGGTTTGCTCAAATTCTCCAGGGCTACAAGTAACAATGAGCCTTAAGACTTTTACATTCTTTCAAGGTTCCTAACCCTGGATGTACTTATTAGAATAATGAGGAGGTGTAAACAGATCAAGATTATAGTCAACAGACAAAGAAATATTGAGCTCTTTTCCCAGGTATTTCTCTAAAATATTTTGTGACTGTACAGATGTTTGGTGGGCATTGTCTCCTCCACAGAACCAGAAATTCTCCTCACAGTGAGTGCATTTTAGAATTTTATGAGCATCCTAAATCAAATGCCTGCAGAAGGCAAATACCAATTTTGTAATGGTCCTGTGTGACATTTGAGGATAATGGATCCTCAATTAGGTCTTCCTGGCAGTCCTAGAGTGTACATGAAGCTTTTCCAGCAGCTGAGGCTAAAAATGCTTCCCAACCTTTAAAACACTAAAAAAGAATTTACTTGTGAGACGAAAGCCTTTCATCCAATTAAAAGCAATCTTGATAATTATAATAATAGCCACCTGCATTCCTTCTATGGCATTTGTTCCAGATCCTAGGGGACACATAATTCAATAAGCCATGGAATGTGGCCTCAGAAATCCTTTTCCGTTAATGCATGCCTCATTGGCTTAGTTAAATTTCTTTTAAAAATGAGCTGATGGTCTCTGGGCAGGGGGAGCTGACAGGTGGACAGATAACTGTACCCTTCTTTCCATTTGTGAAACTTTAACGAGACTGTAAGTTCACTGAGAAAGGGTCTGTCTTACGTTTGCCCTGATACCCACTGGGGTGGCCTCGACCCACGGTAGGAAAATGGTCTGTGGGTTACAGGGCAATAATGAAGAGACAGTCAGATGGGGTTGAAAATGCACCTCTGACAATGTTGCTGCTGCCTTAAGTGAGTCACTTCATTCCCCTGAGCCTCAGTTTTCTACAAAGCGAGGCTATAAATAGAACACAACCCAGGGGACGTTTGTGCATATTATACAACAAGTCATTCCTGCGGTGCTGGTGGGCCTGCTGTAACCGTTCCCTAATGGCTAGTGATTATTGTTATGGTTTATCTTATGTTCTTGCATAACAAATAACCCAAATAGGAATGAATGTCTCTGGAGTGTCCTTGGGTTTGGGCAGTGAGAACACTTCCAAGGGTGGGTCATGGGGCTGAGCCTTTCAGAGGGGAAAGTGCTTCTCAACGGCTCACCTGATCCTCTGAATCCCTCAAGTCGCCAAGTCCTTCCCTCCCTGGCCCTTGGTCTGATATTCTGCCCGCACCTCCCAGGGCCAAACCCCATCAGTAGCACTTTCTAATGGGCAAATGGCTGCTTACCTGAGCTCTTGGAAGAACTGACTGGGTTTAGGGATGCACTTTCTGCAAGCACTGACCTCTCCATATTTATTTTATAAACCAATGATGGAAAGAATATTACCCAACTGCCCTTGTCCTTCTTAATTAAAGTTTTAAAATCTTGGTACATGCCTCAGATAATTATCACTACGATTCTATAAGTCACTAATGACATCAAAAGTGCAACTTATTAAAAATTTGGCTCAAGAACTTCAAGTCTTCAAGTTAAAAAAAATATGGAATGCATCCTGAATTTGAAGGTCAGCTCTGCAGAAACTATGCTCGTGTTCTTCATGTAGTTTCAATTGTATTTATTTTTTATTTCCATAATAAATTTACTTATAAGGTTTTATGATCTGTGATTTTTTTTCTTTTTTTTAAATCCTCACCTGAGGATATTTTTCCATTGATTTTTTTTTTAAGAGACAGTAGAAGGGAGGGAGGAAGGGGAGAGAGAGAGAGAAACATCGATGTGAGAGAGACACATCGATTGGTTGCCTCCTGCATACTCCCTGCCCAGGGCCAGGGATCGAGCCTGCAACCAAGGTATATGCCCTTGACTGGGAATCAAACCCAAGATCCTTCAGTCTGAGGGCTGACTCTCTAATCACTGAGCAAACCTGGGCAAGGCTGTGATTTTTTTCAATTATAGTTTACATTCAATATCATTCTGTATCAGTTTCAGATGTATAACATAGTGGTTAGACAATCATATACTTTACTGAGTGGCCCCCCCAATGAAGGGATTAAGAAGTACAAATTGGTAGCCACAGAATAGTCACAGAGATATAAATTACAGATAGGGAATATAGTCAATAATATTGTAATAACTATGTATGGGACAGAGGGGGTCCTTGAAATATCATATAATTTCCATTGTAGTGTATATCCCAATGAAGTGAACAATTCAACTTTTCGAGTGAGCATCAACTAGGGTGAATACATTGGGTTATGGTCTCTTTGTACAACTTGCTCTCCTAAGATTATCTTGGTTATAAGGTCAAATTTACCGCATAGCAAGCTTCACACTCCTAGTTTACCAGCTCAAAGGAGGCACTCACCTGTATGACTCATATTTTTCCACCCTAGGCAATTCCCGGTAGATGTTACTTTCAAAGTTATCGATGGGATCCAAGAAAACTGACAGCTTTTCCTGAATGGGAACCTTTTGTGCTATCATTTTGATATTTAAACCAATGTAATTCAAGGTCCTTTTGACAGCTGGAAACAAAAACACCTCAGTCATGCATTCCTAGAGGAAACAGAAGCTTTGTTTGGGCACCAAAATGGAAAAAACTTGAACCACTTTCACTTTTTCCCGTGTTATGTATGCACTTGAAGTATGAAAAGTTCTGCACCAAGCAGGAATGTAGCCAAGACCATCAAAAAGCAATTACTTAACAAAACAGCAGGCTAGGGGCATGGACTTTGATGATATGGTGCTGAAATCAAGCCAGAGTTTTCTTCCTACTTATTTTATTTAATCCATTTTATTTATTTATTTATTTATTTATTTATTGTTTAACTTATTTTTTTTAAGGGTCAGATAATTAAAATGTACTGTGTATCTACCCCAGGCCAGGCACTTTTATCAATATTAACTTATTTATTTCACTGAGATAGATATGCTTATTCCCATTTAATACCAGTGACCCTGGGGCTCATAGATGTTAAATACTTGCCCATATGACTTTTTCAGAAAGCACTGGGAATGGAGCTTACCTAACGCTACAGCTTCTGTTAAGTGACTTCCGGAAAACAACTTCATAACCTAACAATTCCACACTTTTATCAATATTAACTTATTTATTTCACTGAGATAGATATGCTTATTCCCATTTAATACCAGTGACCCTGGGGCTCATAGATGTTAAATACTTGCCCATATGTCTTTTTCAGAAAGCACTGGGAATGGAGCTTACCTAACGCTACAGCTTCTGTTAAGTGACTTCCGGAAAACAACTTCATAACCTAACAATTCCTTCCATTATGTGCCGGCATCAGAAACACACCAATTCTCTGGGGCTGAGGTTGTGAACAAGGGTCTCCAGGTGGTATTTTTGTTAAATTTTTGTGTGGCTCATGCAAACTGAGCCTTGTCAAAGCACATCGGTGTTTGCTACATGCAAAAAGCAAGAATGTCCCCAGGGGTCAAACAGTCCTCGTTAATCTCCACCCTAATCTTTCAGAGAGGAGGTTAAGTTCTAGCTTTCTGGAAAGTGTCGGTAATGACCGGTGGAGAATAAAGGCCACCTGGGGTGCAGGGTGTGCCCTGGCCTGGCATTCTCACAGGGGGTACTGAGGACAGACAAGGCACTTAAAATCCTGATCCTGCGATCTCCGCAGCAGCCAAGACAAGGTGCACAGTTCTCTCCAGGCCATCTGGGTCTCCTGCTGAATTCTGGGAAGATGGGAGCATGGTCCAAAATGGAACTACATAAAAGTGGTGGGAACCTTTTTCAAAGTGTGTTGCTCACAATATCACTGCATGTGGCTCAATGCCTCCTGCAAACAGCTTGCGTGCGAAAAGCCCCAGGATCCTCGGCGAGGTGACTCCATGGGCCTCTTTTTACCTCTGGGATTTCTGGGAGTCTGACAGATGAGATCTATGGACTCCCCCTCTCCTATGGATGGTTCCCTAAACTAAGAAGTGGGCCCCTGTCTGCCTCCCAAGCTGTCCTGCCCTGTCACACAGCCCAGCTCCCCAGCCTTGCGAGCTCCGGTGCCCTCTCTTAGCAAATACCTCCTTTAGACCTCAGAAGTCGCTTCCTCCAGGAAGCCTCCCATCAGCCTCGCCCCACCCCACGGACCTCAACATGTCACCAGAGTGTGATGAACAGCACCTGTACACATGCCCAGCCGAAGGGGCAGCAGTGGCCAGGCCTTAGTCACTTCCCATCTCAGAGCCCAGCAGAAACCTGGCACACAGTAGGCACTTAAACGGTGTGCGCAGGACAGGAACAAATGGTCAAACCAGGGGAGCTGAGGGTTTCTATTTGTTTTGGATGAGCCGTTAATAATCCAGCTGATGAAGTGGCGCTCGCCTGGACCTGGGAAAACTCTGGCTTGTGTTTAGGCGACGATGGTGCGTGCAATGGGCCTCGCTCACGCACTCCACACACCACGCTTTGCCAGACTTACAGGGGAAGCTGCACGGATTGGCAGGAGAGGTCCAGGAAGGGGAGGCAGAGAAAGTAAACAGAGATCAGTAAGTACGTGGCTATCAGAGGTACGGCATTGGTCAGCCTTAGGATGCTGGCATAGCAAAGTGTGACTTTGTCTTTAACATCGGAGTATTTTTAGGCGAAATATTAGACTGAACAAAAAAAAAGAAAACCCACAGGGCATCTAAAGCACTATATAGTGGGGGGGGGGGGGGATTTTTTTAAACCACAAGTCTTAATGGGTTGAAAGAATAGTATTAGAAAAAAAAATCAAGTACCTCTAACACAATATTTCAAACTACTTGGTCAACAGATAAATAGAAGCACTGAGAAAATGATTTGTTTAAAAGAGAAGATAGTTGGCCTGCCCAGTGTGGCTCAGTGGTTGAGCAATGACCCTTGAGCCAGGAGGTCAAGGTTAGATTCCTGGTCAGGGCTCATGCCCAGGCTGCTGTGGGCTCGATCCCCAATAGGGGGCGGCAGGAGGCAGCTGATCAATGATTCTCTCTCATCACTGATGTTTCTATCTCTCTATTCCTCTCCCTTCCTCTCTCTAAAAATCAATAAAAAATATATTTAAAAATAAAAATAAAAGAGAAGATAGTCTTACACAGCTTCAGAGATGTCTCCTCTTAGCAGACAACCCAGGTTTATGCCTACCCTAACCTCAATATAACGTGATTCAATCATTCGCAACCAGTAGAATTCACTCAACCTCAGTCTGTCTCTCCAAACTGTGAGCGACCTTCAGAATCTAAATACCACTACGTCAGCATCAGAAGACAAATAAACATCTTCAAAGACAAAATAAATCCTTATACATAGTATTCTTTTTAAAAATATCAATTTTAAGTTCTATTAGGAAATATAATAATCTACAGCTTTTGCCCCAGTGATAACAATCAGAATGTGACTCCAAGCTTTGACTTCTGGTTGCTCTGATAGCTCATCCTGAGGGCTCATCACTGCAGTGTGGCTCTCAGCCAGGCAGCTTCCCGCCAGCAGGGGGCGATGTCAATTAGTGCTCATACGAGGATTATTATTTTTTAAATCAATGTCAATTGTGAATTTGGTACCATCAAAAAACTCTGATATTCCTTTAGTTTTCTAGGTCTTAGTGAGAGAACATTTTTTTCAAAATATATTTCATTGATTTTTTTACAGAGAGGAAGGGAGAGGGATAGAGAGTTAGAAACATCAATGAGAGAGAAACATTGATCAGCTGCCTCTTGCACACCCCCACTGGGGATGTGCCCACAACCAAGGTACATGCCCTTGACCGGAATCGAACCTGGGACCCTTGAGTCCGCAGGCTGATGCTCTATCCACTGAGCCAAACCGGTTAGGGCGAGAGAACATTTTTTAAGAGGGAAAGAGAACAATGGAATTCTTAGTAGATTTCTTTGTGCTAACCACCAATGCTTAATGAGAAGAGATACAAAATTATTTCAGTCTGTGACTCACCTGGTGGTATTTCCGTGGTTTGTTTTTGCACTCTCTCGGGTATATTATTAATGGATTGATAGCTCTAAAAAACAGTTCAAAATAAATTGATGTGCATAGTAAGTAGAACACCGGGAACCGGTACTCATTTAGCACAGAGCAGAAAAGCAAAATACAAATGTAACATTTACCTTAAGGTGGAAATTATCATTATGTGGCCATTAAAAGTCTCATAAGATTCACCGTAGAGGGGACTTGCTTTCAGCTGTACCCATTGAAGATTATGCTAAAAGTTTTTAACTTTTCACTTTTAACTCATGTTAAGTTTACATGTATCTACACCATACCAGTGTCTCTCAAATGGGGACAATGCTGTCCCCTAAGGAGACATGTGGCAATGTGTAGAGACATTTTGGTTGTCACAGCTGAGAGGTGCTGCTGGCATTGTGCAGGGCAGGGTGAGGGTGCTCATAAATACCTTGCAATGCATAGGAACAGCCCCCACTGCAAGGAATTTCCCAGCCCCACACATCCGTATGCTGAGGTTAGGAAACCCGGATCCATACAACGCACCGTGTGCAGATGCAGATTCACAGATAACCCATATCTGCGAATTTCTAAAATAGCATCTTCTTTTCCAATGCAATCACAACGTGAAATTGGGGGTCTAGGCTCACAGAAAACAATAATGTCCTTAAAGCCCAGCTTCTGGAGAATACACATTGTAGTGAGGCAAAAACAAAAATGAAGACAGCCTTGCCCAGCCAGGTTGCTTGGAGGCTAAATACGGGGCAGGAAAATGTCCTTATTTCCCCAAGTCACTCAAGGAACTATCCAGCCTCTTCCCTGGAAGGGGCTTAACTTGTCTTTCTGTGTGTCAGCTGATGCGTGTCGCCACCTGCCTGGGAGCACTGCAGCGACTGTAACCTGTTCTGAACGCAAGGTCTGTGTCCCCCCTAAAATGCAAATGTTGAAATCCCTCCCCCAGAGTGATGGTATTAGGAGGTGGGCCTCTGGGGGTGATGAAGTCAGGAGAGGGGATCCCCATGAATCGGGTTGGGGCCCTTATACAGGAGCCCCAGGGAGCTCTCTGCCAGGTGAGGAAAAGGACCGGATGACAAGGACCCAGTGAGAAATGACCGCCTGCCACCTGGACGGGTCTCTCACCGGATCCCGGACATGCCGGCGTTCTGATGGCAGAATTCCCGCCACCAGAAATGGGAGAAATAAATGTCTGCCGCGAACAGCCACCCAGCCTATGATGCTCTTTTATGGCAGTGCAATCCAAGATGTAAACTTTGTGAGGTTTACGGTGCCCCCAGGTTCCACTGCAGCCGAGCAGTATCGATGACATAAAACAACATCCCAACTGAATCTCACTGCTTTTCTTCTGTTACCTGTTTTCGTACGCATTAGTCTGCTCGTTAAAATAAGCTACTGTCTGTTTCCCAGATAACATACCATTTGGACCAGGCTGGATAGATTTGTCTGAAGAACACCATTGACGTGATTAATTTCGTTATCCAACAATCTGAGCTGAAATGTGTAAGGCAAAACATAAGGCAAGGTGGTTACCCCCAAATCACTTGATATCTTATATCCAAGTTCCAAGCCTCTATATTATAGGGTATGATCTATATTTTTGGGAACAACAGAGTATTGTGTGGGGAAAACACATTTAGCACAGAATGGCCTGTATCAAGCACTAATTTTAGATGGGGGAGGTCTCCTGCCTCAGGAGGGAGAGAAATTGAACACAGACTGAATAGGTGTGACCTCAGATTTTAGGTACTGAATATCCTATATAATAAAGATGTACTATGCAAATGGTCATTACGCCGTGAAGTGTAACGACCTACCGTGGAATGACCGGATCACGGATCAGCAGGAGGGTGGGGCAGCGAGATACAAGTGGGCAGTGGAGAGCTATAGGAAGGGACAGGGCAGCAAGCTATGAAGGGGTTGGGGGGAGCTACTGGAGGGCAGCAGCGAGCTACTGGTGAGCTACTGGTGCACGGATTCATGCGCAGGGCTACTAGTTGTTGAATAAACAATCTTTTCAAAAACACATTTAAAAGTAATACAGTCCGTGGTTCTCTTGGTGCATGATCTGGAATAAATTTTTCATTTTACATCATGCATAGATTTAAAGTGTCCTATCTCTTAACAATACCAAGACAAATATCCTGTACCTCCCGACACAGTATACCGAAGACACAGTATCACTTTTGTGATATCCTGACAAATGTGCATACTTTAAATCTAATCATGAGGGAACATCAGACAAATATAAATTGAAGGTCATTCTGTATAATAAATGCCTGTAGTCTTAAAAAATGTCAATGTAGTCCTAGCTGGTTTGGCTCAGTGGATAGAGCGTCGGCCTGCGGACTAAAGGATCCCAGCTTCACTTCCAGCCAAGGGCACATGACTGGGTTGCGGGCTTGATCCCCAGTAGGGGGCGTGCAGGAGGAAGCTGATCAGTGAATCTCTCTGATCATTGATGTTTCTATCTCTCTCTCTCCTTCTCCCTTCCTCTCTGAAATCAATAAAAATGTATATTTTTTAAAATGTCAATGTCATAAGAAAAAGATAGACTCAGACACTGTCTCGGATTGAAGAAACTAAAGAAACGTGAAAACCAAAGACCACATGTGATCCTGGACTGGACCTTAGACTGAAATGAGAAAAAAAGGCATTTTGAGAAAAATTGGCAAAATCTCAATATACACTGTAGGTTAGATGGTAGGATTAGGTCAATGGTATATGTCCTCACGTTGATAACGGTATTACTTGCTATGTAAGGTCAGGAAATATTTAAGGTAAAAGGGCATAATGCCTGCAACTTTCCTGCAAACAACTGAGAACAGAACAAAATGCCTATCATTTTATGCATATCCTAGAGGCCTGATGCATGAAGATTCATGCAAGAATAGTCCTTCCTTCCCCTGGCTGCCGGCATCGCCTTCGCTCTGGCCCAGAGTTGCCTTTCGGCCTTCCCACACTGCCCAGAGGCCCAGAGCGGCTGGGGCGGTGCGGAATGCCTGCATCGTCGTCATGGCAATGTCCCGGCCTGGCCGTTGCCATCTTTGTCATGTCAATTTGCATATTCCCTCCTTATTGGCTGTGAGCTCCACCATCCTTGTCGTGAAGTGATGGTCAATTTGCATATTCCATCTTTATTAGATAGGATATGACAATATACCTAGACAGATGATAGATACATAAGTAGATAAATGGATAAAATGATATGATCAAGCAAATGGAGCCAAATGTTGACAACTGGTGGATCTGGGTAAAGGGTGTAGAAAGGGGTTCCTGGCACCATTCTAGCAGTCTTTCTGCATGTTTGAAAATATACCAGAATTAATCATTTCCCCAAAAAGGACTCAATTTATATGCCAGTACAGATCCTGAGCTCTAAAAGACTGTTTGATGACGATGAAAGTGACTGTAGTAGCTATGAAGACACAGATGCTGGATGTGAAGTGTGTAAGTAAAACTGATGCATAAAATATGAAAATGAGAAAAATGTAGCTAAATTAAAATATTGATTTATGCCAATGTGGTGGGTATCTATATCACTATCTCAATAAATTAAAGGCCATGAGCAGATATGATTATTTTATCTATATCCCAGAACTTTATAAATTCAAGTTGCTCCAAATTCTTTTACCTAATCTTTTTTTGGGGAATATGAGAAATTACTTTATATTTAGGCACATGTAATCACTAACCAGGCACATAATCCCAAAATACATTTTAGCTTTTAAAGGTCTATAAAAATGCATTCTAGACAAGTGCTGGTGAGGATGTGGAGACAAAGGAACCCTCTTGCACTGCTGGTGGGAATGCAGACTAGTGTAGCCACTGTGGAAAACAATATGGAGTTTCCTCAAAAAATTAAAAATGGAGCCATGTACCCTGGTTGCAGGCACATCCCCAGTAGCGGGTGTGCAGGAGGCAGCTGATCGATGCTTCTCTCTCATCAATGTTTCTAAGTATCTCTCTCCCTTCCTCACTGTAAAAAATCAATAAAATATATTTTTTAAAGAACCAAAAAATCTGTGGTACATCTATACAATGGAATACTATGCTGCTGTAAAAAGGAAGGAACTCCTACCATTTGCAACAGCATGGATTGCGCTGGAAAGCATTATGCTAAGCAAAATAAGCCAGTCAGAGAAAGATAAATATCACATGATCTCACTCATTTGTGGAATATAATGAACAACATAAACTGATGAACAAAAACAGAGCCAGAGACACAGAAGCATCGAACAGACTGTCCAACCCAAGAGGAAAGGCAGGGGAATTGGGGGTGAGAGATCAACCAAAGGACTTGTATGCATGCATATGAGCATAACCAAAGGACACAGAAAGTAGGGGCGTGAAGGCATGTGCTGGAGGGTGGGAGCAGCTGGGGAGAGGTCAATGGGGGAAAAGGGAGACTTACGTAATACTTTAAACAACAAAGAATTTTTTAAAAAATGCATTCTGCTTCCTTTTCTTTTTTTAAAGTTGAGTTCATTTTCCTGTTTTTTCCAACAAGACAACTCTCAAGGGGCGGCTTCCTACTACTTCTTCCCTCACTGCGGCCATGCCAGTGGTGATTAGGTGTCAGGAAGATGGACAGAGCCCAGGCGCTGTGCATGGGGGCAGGCACCCACGTGGAGCCCTGCCCAGATGCCCAAAGACCCTGCCTCGCACGCGACGAGGTCGCCCCCTCACCTGGCCCAGGTAGGTGTTGTTGTCCAGCTGGTCCAGAGACATTCTGATGGAGTTGCACCTGGCACGCTGGGTGGGTTCGGAGCACACGGGGTCCTTGAGGGACTGCTCCAGGTCTCTTTTCACATCCCGCAGGCCTTTGTAGATCTCTTCGGGTGATTTCTTTAACTCCCATAAGTTTTTGTTCACGGACACCAGGAGTACTTTGGTGTCTCTGATCTCTGTGGGAACATAGTTCACTTCAGGGCAGAGGCACCCACAGGCTGCTGCGGCAGTACGTCCCATCTACAAACCTCCTAAGTGCTCCTGGGAATGCCCCCCTATCCCCTCTCACCCCCCGGGAGCCTGCCACTGCTGGCTCCTCCGCCAGCCTCTGTGACCAGCTCAGCCTTCCCGCTTGGGGAACTCGATGGGGACATCTGGATGTGGCAGTAACCACTGGACAGGGCGTGGCAACATCAGGAAAAGGTGTTGCTGCACCAGAATCACCAGGCCTTGAAGAGGCCAGCCCAGCCCCAGCCGACGTGGCTCAGTGGTTAAGTGTCGACTTATGAACCAGGAGGTCACGGTTTGATTCCCAGTCAGGGCACATGCCCGGATTGCAGGCTCAATTCCCAGTGTGGGGCGTGCAGGAGGCAGCCGATCCATGATTCTCTCTCATCATTGATGTTTCTAACTTTCCCTCTCCCTTCCTACCTCTGAAACCAATAAAATTTGTTTTTTTTTAAAGAGGCCAGCCCAGACCAGCTAGCATCTCCACCCCTGAGCAGTTTTCACCCACCTTACGCTGTGGCTAGTCAAAGAGCTGGAAGAAAGCGCAGAGAAACAGGGAAGAGTACGGTTTTGGATTCAGGCAGGTCTGGGTGCAGACCCGAGCTTCCCTATGCACAGGCCGTGTAACTAGAAGCTGAATCCTGAACATTTTGCTGGCAGTTTCCTCAAATGCTGACACCGCCACCATGCTCATCAGGAAATGTGGGGATCAGAAGGACCCGACTGAACCTCCTCGATGGCAGCGAGACCGTCTGTCTTATTTTAGGGGCCCGCAGCCTGGAACACATCCTTAGACATGGAAATCCCTAATACTTGTTTGCAACCCTGATTTCTCTGGTGCGCAGAGCCCCGCACTCATCACCAGGGAAGTAGCAGATTACAACTCTTTTCACAGTGACTGACGGCCCCAGCAGGACAAGGTGGGGAATTTAAATAGAGGGCATGCTCTTCTTCTGAGCGAGTAGGTCTTCCAGGCTCACAAAACACATAGCGGAGCCGCATGCGGGGGTTGCTAGGAAAGGGGGAACGCCCTTGAAAATGTGTTTTTTTCAACTTCCTGGGCTACCACATGAGCGTGAGTGCTAAAACAACAACAACAACAAACACACACACACACACACACACACACACACACACACACACACACACACTTTAAAGCTTCCATGTGGTAGAATCAAAAGTAGTTTAAGGTCTCATCTGATCCCAGTTCTGCTCCTACCGTGTAACAGCACCCCTGGCAAACTCCCCCACCTCTGGGGGCCTCTGTTTCCTCGTCTGTAATGGAGGAAGCTGGTTGGGTCATCTCCTGGTCCCTAGGAGAGTCTGTCATTCTACGCTGTGCCCTAGCAGGTTTGCCCTTAGGAGATGGCATTGCCCATGTCTCCATGTTGGAACCTCAGCTTTGATGAGACCTGGGAGGCTTCCAGGGTGGGACTGAATGACCCTGGGTCCCATCTCCTCATCTGCACAGCAAACCTTAAAGTCTGTTCCACACAATCTTCTCTCTTGAATGGTGCTCCCGGTGTAGCGGAACAACATTTGAGGTCATCACAATATTTAAGACTTTATCCGTTTCTCATCTCTGGGCCTCAGTGTCTCATGTCTTCCACCTCCCTCCCAGAATTGTCAGCAAAGGATGGAACTGGTACCCGCTCACATTAGAGGCTCAATAAACAGCTACCATAGCAAAACAAGAAACAAAGAACACGGCTGCCACTAGAAACACACAACAGAAAGCACACGAGCACACCCAAACACATTCACATCACACAACACACACACACACACACACACACACACACACACACACACACACACACCTCGTCTTCACGTTGTGTGGTTAATTAACCCTCACGGTTTACCTGCGCACTTTGACTTCAAGAAGAGTTATTTTAAGGTAAGAAACAAATGACAACAACAAAAAGTGATGGATGGTAACATAAACTGGTGGCCCAGAGAACACGTGTCCGGTTGGGCACCATCCATAGACATTCTGGGTTATAGGAACCATTTTGAGGACTGAGGTATAAATATACATATTTTTTTCCAGGGTTTCGAGGCATTTTTATGTCTGTAAAACATCCAGTGGGTTACAACTCTGGGAGTCATGCCAGGCCTGCCAAGATCACCCACATCATGTATCTGAAGTGAGTGAAAGAGATTTCAGGTTCTCCACTTCAGTTCATTAACATTTTGCCAGCTCACAGCACACTGCCTTTACAGATCCCGATGGGCAGCTCAAAATGATTTGCTCAAATAACTTTGCATGTTCCTGCTCTCTCCAGAGGCTACTAAATGCATAAGGCTGCGGCGAATGTTTAGAAAAAATATTGCTGAAGCAGTTTATTAAGCACATTTTAAACAGCCCGGGCAACACCCGAGGCTAAAGGTTCACTTATTTGGCCCGGCTACACAATAATAGGACTTTAATACTTTAATACCAATACATGAGGCACTGGAGAGGAAAATGAATGTGTTTTAATTGCCTTTGATCCAAAGAGAATTACAATTCAAATATTAAAACTTGGCCAAACCACGGGGCAAAAGTCAGGTTCCCCGCCAACCACATGGCATTGTTCATCC